CATTCACTTCGCTCTCCAGACTTTCTGTGTCTGTCAAAACCATTTTGTTTACTATTGCAAATTTATGCATAACTGAAGAAGAAGCGGTGCTGCATCACACGGCGATCCAGGGCTAGTCTGAGAAAAGGCTGAGGAACAGCCATTTATTTATGAATTCCAGCAACTTCAGTCCATTTTTCAACAGCGTTTAACTTTCAGTTTACATTTTAAATTTGATGAGATTTGCTATACAGGGACACATTAGTTGAGCCAAGTGTTTACTGCTGCTGCTATACCTCACGTCTTTCATGGTTGTGTGGTGCCAGGTTCATGAAGCAAGAGGCCAGAGGGACAAACATAGGGATCTTTCACTGGCATCTGCATCTTAGCAGACTGGAGGTCTTTGCGAAAAGTTGAGAATAAGCAGGAAATCATGTGAAAAAAAATTATAAAAATCGAACCCTTTTCAAGAAACAAGATAACAATATATCAACTGTGCTTGGATGTGCTAGAGTTAAGCTCAAACCTTCTGTAAACATTTAACACCCAAACAAAAACCCAGTCATGTCTGTAATGTAGGTGAACTCCTCCATCCATAGCCTCCTGGACTGATATAAAACCTTTGAGGAGATAGAATTCTACACCAAAGGACATATTGATGGTTAACTAGGACATAATTTGAAGATATACTTTTCCAAAAGCTTACTTTATAGGGGTGCTTGATCTACATCGATTATTAAAGTAGAAATTGAGACATTTTATGACAGTCGATCATTTGGTCACATCATGGTCATTATAATCATCATAAATAATAAATAAGAAACCCTTAGGGACACCACAGTGCAGTGCACAGTTACCTGGAAGATAATAATACTGCCTTCACAAATGTATGACACGCACAAAAATACTGAATTGGTACTGTGGTCAGGGGCGTTTCTAGGATTTTCATTTAAGGGGGGTTCAGCCCCCATAGATGTTTAACACATATTTGAATTGTTCAGAATCAGTACTCAAATGAGTCTTCCTGATTACTCATAAATAAGACAGTAGGTTCTACATTCAACCCCTTAAAACGTTATATCTACTAGGCTATTTATTCTAATTCATTAATATAGACAAACATTGTTTTAATGTAATTAAACAAAGCATCTTTTTATATCATTCTTTTTTTGTTTCTATTCATTAAAAAAGTAACTTTTTCTAAATCAAAGTGACAAAAAACCCTACTCTAAGGCTAATAAATGTTTTTCACGATCTGGGACATTATTTAATACAATACAATATTTATTACAAATAAATACTAAGCAGTTAAAACGAGTGTATTGAATGCTGTCTGTCATTGTTTATTATCACATTTATGTGCATAACTCTATGGCAGTTAATGCCATGCACTGTGTAATGTTTTATATAGACAGTTAGGTTCTCCAATTAAAACAGCAACAGCATCATTGTTTTATAAAGTAGACTATAGGTTAATAGGGTATGTATTAAGGGCTTCATTTTCGCTAGAGGAAACAGCTGGTGTGATGACGTAACACAGCGAAAATTTTGACATTTTTGTAAACTGTATTTATGAAAAAGGACTGCATTGATGCAGATATAACAATTTATCGAAAAACACACACCTTGTCGTAATCCTCGCTCTGTGATGCTTCAGTTGAAGACCGCGCTGAAAGACGGGGCGGAGCCGAAGTCAGCCGCCGTTTTCATATTAAATTTAAAGGGGACGTGGGCGATCACCAATTTGTGTAAAGTTTATGGAGAATTTTTAGGGGGGCTGAGTACAAATGTTAAGGGGGATAAAGCCCCTCTAAAAATGGCCTAGCGACGCCCACGACTGTGGTCAAAACACAGATAATACAGAGTCAGTAATTACTCCTGCTACAAGACCCAGCTGATTCCTAAGTATTATTGTTATTTTTTTACATATCTTCCAGGGTTTGTAAGTAATGTTTATTCGGATATTTTATTTTTTACAAAATGGGACAAAACCACGATAGCTTAAAAACCATGCTAAAAATGAGCTATTATAACAACAGTGCCATCTAGAGGAAGCACGGCAGATAGCTACAGTTTTGTCTCGGCATCATTAGGGGAAAGCATTGGGAACAGGTAGATGAATACGTAGCCTGTACTAATGAATTCACAGTCATTCATGATAATAAAACCGTTACCTTAACAAGGATTAACTAAAGAGGTTTTTACAGTGTAAAACGTTCGGAGATAGGTTGAAATGATGCGATAATGCCAGAAGATAAAACTAAAACTTGCCTCCATGTTTCTCCAAATTACAAACCAAATTCTTCACTAAACATATCTCAGCAGGCTTAGGAAGGCAAAGCTGATATGAAATGACCACGACATTAGCCTTCTTGGCTTTGACTAGGAAAAACTCGCAGCCGTGGATGTACCGGCACTGTAACCTTGGTAACTCCCGCCACGAGCTCCATTACTATTGGCGGCTCTTAGCTTTTTAACTAATCAGCCTCCTGCGAGAAGGCGCCGCTTTGACCTCGGAAAGTGGTCCAATCGCTGCTGATGGAGTCGGCAACGGGAGAAGCAATAAAATCAGTAGGTTCAGTTAGGTAAGTAACGTACACACCTGGGGTGTAAATAGCGGAGTGAAATGACTATTACAGCGTCTTATGCGTACTCAAGTGAAAGTGCAGCAATTTTCAACTGCTTAATAAGGTACAAAATCTGAAAAAATGACAATTTTGACAATGACAACAACTATGCAAATATGTTTAGTGTAAACTAGTGGTGGAAAGAATGATCGAGGCTACTGTTATGCTAGCCGGTGCCTGACAGCACATGGAAATTTCTCACACTGGTTTTTGTTCCTGAACATAAATACGTATTCTGTGAGCTGCACATCCATCCATTCATTTTCTGTAACTGCTTGTCCTATTTGGGGGCGGTGGCAGGGTGGTTGTTTAGAGCCCTTCCCGGAGGCTATGGACGCAAGGCAGGGAACAACCCAGGATGCGGTGCCAACCCATCGCAAGCAGCACATACTCATCTCTGAGAATATACTGAAACCATGGAGCCCGTGGAGTACCATGCTGAGCGCTGTGTCTTCTGAAGATAAAACACTCCTGTCCCTTTGGCAAAATTGACCATGTCACCAAGATCATCAGGCTACCTGAAGCAAAGACTGCAGAGAAGAGGAGGAAACAGCCTGCTTTCACACAAGCTTTTTGGCTCCCTGCAAAGTCGTTCATCTCCCCTGGGTGGACGCTGACCAGAACTTGAGGTCAGGAGAATGTTTGAAGGTCACAGGCTCCTGTTTGTTTTCCATTATATTTTTCAAGGTTCCTAAAGGTTCCTTCTTTGAGAACCATTATGTATGCCCTGTCATGGACTGGCATCCTCATCCACAATGGTGGTTCTGGAGGGGCAGTACAGCCATGACAACATGCATGACCTCCGCTAAATATGTATGGTACTTGGGTCTGAAATAAATGTATTATTATTATTACCATTATTATTATTTACATTTATATATGTTGGCTAAATGTTGTGCGCTGGGAACAGGCGAGACACAAACATAAGCACATTTTCGTGACGGAATCAACGCGGGTGCACTGGGTGGTCAAGTTGCTTTACTTGGTGAAAAGTTAACAACAGAAAAAGATAATAATCAAGCTTTTCGAAGCAGGACAGTCTAAACAAGAAATCAGAGGTACATATTTGTAAAAAAATTTAAATGTGACTGCAAAGCATCTCTTAAATAACTTATCGGTGTTCAGAATCGTCTTTTGCTTCTTAATGCTGGTAATCTTGTGTAAGTAGAACTTGGAGGACATTAAGGTCAAATGCATCTGCCCCCTTGACAGAACAACTGACGCCAGTTTGGCCGCCCCATTTGAAACGGTCTAGAACCTCCACTGCTCGTCCAGAGTGTCCCTGGTCCTCTCCCCTGTGCTTCTCTATATAGGTTACATTCTCACCGCAAACCTGTATTGGATACATGGTAATGAAAGAGTAAAATCTGACACTGGCTATGAAATATGTATACATTACAGGGACATCAATCACGCGTCAGGAATACCAGTGTTACGGGCACTCTGAGCTAAAGTGAAAATCTCCATTATTTTTTTGTCCCAGTTTGCAGTTAATTAATTTGCTCAGAAAATAATGTCGCCAGACTTTTTCAGAGAGAAATTAACCAATGATTGGTTGAATCAGTCAATTATTTATACTTGCAAAACCCATCCATCTTCAAACCCCTGGAGCAGCACTGGGCACGTGTTCTTGGACTGCAGAAGGAAATTATCATAGCAGAAGGAGAACATGCATCCTCCACACATGGGACAGGGAGAGACCCCTAATCCTCGAGATGTGAGGCAGTGGCACCCACCCACTGTAATACAAACTGCAAAATCCAGGTGTTGGTATTTTGATTTTAAACAAGGATGTTTAATTGAATGAAATGTGGGACACAATGAAGATCTAGACATCTCTCCCCTTTCTCCATCTGTTCAGCTGAAAAGCCTTGGAAACTTGTAAAGGTAATGATCTGCATTCATTTATCACAATAACTGATCCAATCAAGATACTGATGCTTCAAGAAGCATAATGTGGACAGAGCAAGGAATCACCAAAGAACAGCTAAATCCAGCAGAGGGCAACATTGACTCACTTTGATATGAGGGATGAGGCTGGACAGAAGACTCAACAGCTACATCTGCTTTGAGATCTGGCCCCAACTTATAACATGTTCATATATATTCTTTGTTTGTGTTGTGGTCCTTGCACAAAATTTTTAGTATTCCATTAATTGCTTGTGATTTTTGAAAATGTAATAGAAGTTCATGCAAGTCAAACATTGCCCAATTTAAAATGCTGAAAGGTAGACTACTGTATGTGTTTTGTGCACTAATCTGAATTTCTACATTTTTTTCCCTAAGGCTATAACAATATAACAGAATTCTATCTGTTACAGTATATAGAATTTAGCTTCCGTTAAAATTGCATTTTTAACATAAATATAAAATTAAATAACAAGGACATTTTCACAGAAATAAAGACCAGCTTTATTTTGCCTTCTCACATAATATACAGAATTTTAACATCTGTCACTACCAGGATATCAGGCCTGCATCTCCATCCAGCAATGGTGGCTGTAAGGATACAGCACACAGGTATACAGGCATTTCTTTATATACACACATTTACCTGTATACATCGTTCCTCATCAGCTCTAAGGGAAATAACTCAACTGTTAAATATATACCATTCTCTTGATTGTTTCTCCATAATGTGTGTACAGTGTCTGGAAATAAAAACTAAAATTACTACATTTCATGCAAGTTTACTCAATGATTAAAAAAAACAAAACAAAACAGGTATTACCGATGTATATTAGATCTGTGCAACTGCAACTGATATTTGCTTTATCAGCTAAAAAAAAAGTTGTCTTGAAGATGAAAATGATTAAAAGTATTTGAGTATTTGTGATTTAATTCCGTTTGCGGGCGCAGTACGATTCTCAAAAAAGTGTGAGAAACTCAAACATTTTGAAAAGAAGGACGTGGTGATTGTAAAAACTCTGATTGATATGCTAATACCACTTGAAGTCAGAGAGGCTGTGTTTTAGAGAAATTATTGTTCCTAAAAAGAGATTCACACCAATGTGCAGAAAACATGCAAGTAGCTTCGACAGAGCCCAGCAGAGGAGATGGGCATCCATTACTGAAACAACAGGACTGGTGTCAAGTGAACTCGGAGTTTATGATGGAAATATTGAAGAGATGAGAACATGAAAGCTGAAAAATCTTTGCAAGTGTTCTTGAGAAGATTGTGATGCTATTTGTAATGTATCAAACTTATATATCACCTGGCATTTGTAATTGTACTAGACAAATGAATTTGCCTATATTTGTCAATACAAAAGACTAATAAACTGTAGCATCAAGAATTTTGTACTATAATTTCTTTCACTGGAGGGTAAAATTCCTGTGAAACGGATGTGACTTGTACTAGCTATATAGCTTTTAGCACAGTTGTTGGGCTCACTATTCGTATGATACTTGTTCTCGTTTAACTAAAAGGTTACACATATTCATTTATGTTATCCATTTATTCGGCTGAATTTTTACCGAAACTGTTCGGGATAAGTACACTTTTCCAAGGTAACCATTAAGATCGATGGCTGCATTTTAATTCTGATAATCAACTGACTTGGAGCTTCCATGAGTTTCATTTGATTGTGTCAGTATTCATTTAATAAATCATATTTCATAGGGCACTATTTCTCAATGTTGCTGCACTCTCAAGCATACATATTTGTCCTATTCCACATGATTATGTATTTTTAATGTAACATTGTATTACCAACACATCCATATTCACAATTTAAAATAGCTTTATATGTCTGAAAAGTACCAAGACAACCTGTGATTTTCTTCAGTCCATTGTTGGCAATATAAAATGGACAATGCAGTTCCAGTAAGGAAGCAGTCAAATTTTCAATACCATTATGTAAATATCTATTTTTGCAAAATATAATCATCTTACAGGTTTTTAGTAATGTAGCAGTACCAGGTAGACACTGTACTGCTAGAAATCTACCTTATTTTCACAGAAATGTGGCGAAACCCCAAAGTTGTAATATTATACTTACTTTAAAAATGGGTGCCATTAATAGTGAAAATGATCCGCTTAATATCTTCTTTTTTACTGCAGCAACTACAAAGTGGGAAAAATCTAACCATTTAGCGAATTTGTGACTGAGATTGTTAAAAACTGTTTAAGAAAGAAGAAAGTATCTAGAAAGATCAGTAATTTCTACATAAGGATACAAGAGGGACAAATGTATAGTAGGATCATTCCCAATGAGTTCTGGAGAACATCAAGAACATCTCAGAAAGAGAGCTCATCTCGAGTGTTAAATTTCCGGCTCATGTTTTACGTTACGTGTGCCTTTAGGAAGCCTCAAAGTGAGGGAAATGCAGCCCTGTTGTATCCACTGGCAAAATCATAGGTGGCATGAGGAAGGGAGTAATCCGTGAATAAGTTTGGGAAGGCCAACGCACACAGGGTGTTCTCTTCCACTGGTAAAGAAACGGTGGAATCCAACTGGCAGTAGAGTGGAGGCTGGGCTTGAATCGTCCGCATGTTTTCACCCAGACTACATGGCGCCGCTTTCTTGGATGGGCCAGTGCAACCACCCCATGGTTCTGCGTACAGAAGGCCCTCAGATAGGTGATGGGGTTCATAGGAGTCCTGTCCAGACAGTGCCTCCTGCTGGACCCGCATGGGCATGCCCTGGGGTATGTCCTGTTCAACCAGCATGTCGCTGTAGTCAGGGCCTAGAAGTTCGAAGAACTCAGATGCCTCTGGCCCAGCCCGCTCTAGATCCTTCAGGGTCATGCCGGAGGTGGAAGTAACCCTGGGGCAGATGGCAGGCTCAGTGAAGAAGGATGGGGGCAGGTTGCGCTGGCGGAGGGGTGGCTTCCGGGTTTTTTCCCCGCGGATGTCCTTCGTGGGCTCAAAGAGGGCAGCCAGGCTCTTGCTCTGCAGGTTGGCTTGAATGCCGTCACGCCGGGCCACAGGTTTGCCTGGGATGTTGCCGGCGTGTGAGGTGGGGGATCCTTGCCTCTTGCCTTGATCTTGAGCCAGGTTCCCCCCCGACCCGATGATTCCCGTACACCTCTTGATCTGCTTCTGCAGGTACTTGCGGTGGTTGACTTTCCGCTTGGACTTCACTGGCTTGTCCAGGGCCAGCTTGATATTACTGGAGGCAGAGTCGATGAAGCTCAGGAGGTCCCGGGTGGTTTCCCGAAAGTCCCCTTCGCAGGCCACCTCCCCGAGGAGGCTCCCGTCAAATGGCTTCTCCGCGTCATACTCCATGCCAGACCCGAGGAAGCAGAAATTCATGAACTGGGAGGTCACGATGGGGGCCTGTACGGCCATCTCTCTGTCTCACCCAGCACTCTCTCCAACAGCATTCGCTACAGTCGCCAAAAATGAGCCTCAGCAAAGCATTTTTCTCTTCCCGTTCCAGGGTGACTTGCAAACCCTTGGTTCTGAATGGCTCCGCAGCCCCTTTCGCTCCCTTGAGCTGAATTGAGAAACAGTGTTTTGGGGGAAGGGGAGAGCTTTTTTTAGGGGCTGGGCTAATGATGTCAGGACATCAAAGAGGTGGAGCAGAGAGACCCCAGGACTTAACTCTTTGCTCACGCTTGACCACCTGCAACTAAGAAGGATTTGTCTGAGGTGTCCCGCTGTGTGGGTAGACAATACCAGTGGGGTAATCTCCTCTTTTTGTTCCACGGCAGTGTACACGCATGTGAGTTCAGACCTTGCTATGAAACTAATGCATACTGCAGAGTTTCAACAATATGCAGTCTTGGCTCCTTTGTAAAGCCATTTTGAACATTCAAACATGCATAAACTAGTATTTGATTATTTAGTGTCAGATCTTTGCTTTACTTGGAATGAATTTTGGAATATTATTTAAAAGCCTGGATGGCAGTACTCTTCCTTCTTGGTGTTTTAGAACAAGGATCTTTAGAATCAGTCAAAGCTCCCGTCTTTCCATGGGTTTTAATGACTCAGGAATCGTTTGATCACAGTTGAATGAATATTCATTAAATCCATTAAGATGGGGGCTGTGTGATGTTGCTCTCTGTCTTTTTAATTACTTTGAACTAATTTTTTTTAATCCTAGATTTAAAACTTCTGTACCGTTTTTGGAAGATACAAGATTGCCCCAGTGCAAATAAAAAAGAATGTGTCTCATGTCAATGTCTGTTGCATAATTGATGAAGAACATGGCATTTAACCTGTTTTGAATCACTGCATCGTAATTCCTAAATAGTAAACGGGAGTACTCACAACAATGCAAGTAGGAAACAAGATTATCAATTTGATTATGAATTTATACAATATTATCTGTGTACATGTCTACTTACATTACCCTTTACATTATCCATTGCTTTTATTACTCATGATTAATTAATAGTGTTTCATATAAAGCACTACTATCAATGAGTTTGTCTTCCTAAGAAGTCACATCAAATTTTCTTTTAATGAAAAATATACCGTCTTGCCAAACTTCACGTACAGTTATTAGAACGGGCCCATTACAACAAGGTTTACATAATTCTCCACAAGTTCTTTTAAATAGGGCGCAATATCAACTGTACATACTTGTTATTGGGGCTTCTGTAGATTTTCGTCTTCTGGCCTTGTCTGTGTGTCGTAGGCTAATTAGGCTAATTTATTAATATAAATTAGCCTAATTAGACAGGTAATTAAGGAAAAAGATTATTCTCAAAGCATGTAATTCAAATGAAAGGCAGCAAAAATAAACAAAACTAGAAAGAAATGTGCAAAAACATACTTGGTGCGTTACGCATTTTGTACTTCCGCTCATAGTCAGCTTGTTGTCCTTTTTTGTATTTAATCCCTGTAATATGACACTTACATCACTGAATGCTACTTCCTGGCCTTGTTTACACATAAACGTGAAAGGAGTTGTGCTAATCTGCTTCTCACTTCAGCGTGTCCACAATTGATATCAAGGACTGAACTTTGCACAATCACGTGGAAGGTTTGTTTTCTATGGGAAAATCTCTGTACCCAAACAGGTGTCACTGTGTCGGCCCGTCTTCCCCCGCGTCTTAATCTGCTCATGGCCAAAGTTGATTTCTTGTGTGCTTCCCGCACCAGTGGGAATTTCTGCCCTGCTCTGACAGCTATTATGGCCTGCCTTTGACATACAGCCCTACAGGGACTAAATAGCGCCTATTCTTCCCCGGCTGTGAAAGGGAGCTTTGTGCCAGAGATTCATTAAACTGCACCTCACAACCCTTCGTAAAATTGGGCTCAATAATGAACAGTCGATTTAACTGGAAAAGCTGCCGGAGCTGTTAAATTAAAGGGAATAAAGTGCGCTTCAAGCTCAGTGTGCCAGAAAAAACGGTGACCTGGAGAAATCCTGAGCATGACTGAAGCCAGCCCCCCCCGGCCAAACAAAGACGCATTTACAGGAAGCGTCGGGCCTGGCAGCAAGCAGAACCGAGAACCATATCCAAACCCGGATGGGTCCGCCTGGTTCTGAGCCCAGTCGTCACGCCGAGAGCTAGAACGTCTGTATTTCTGGGTGGTTCATGCAGGACGACATCGGGGGAGTTATTGAGAGATATTCTCCTTCCAGAGCACTGTCATCAGGCTGGAATAGAGGCAAACCGTACAACCAAATTAAAAATTTACTACCGTATTGTGTCCGTGTATCTGGTGAGTTTCATTTAGCATCCCTCAAACCATACATCTCGTAGAAGCATTGTAGGAATAGATAACTTTTATGCAAATTGGAGCTATTTCTTATCAGACAACAACTGTACTTCACTGTAATACAAAAAAACTAGCTTGATACTCCGCTTTGGAAATAAACGTCTCCAAAGGATTCCATGTAGTTTTAATTCTCTTTCCAAAACCAGAAGCCATTTTATCTTGTTATTAGAATTACCTGCATACTTGTGTACGTTCTATGACTATGAACCTGCTTTTCTATGGAAGACAGACTTTTGTTCTGGGGCTGTGAGCCGGGTGCTTGCAGGTTGGCTCGAGTTTAGCGCTTGTGTGTGATTCCGGCTGTGCGAGAGAGGGCGGCTTACTTTAAACGAAAGTGTTTTTAAAGCTCGCCGTGCCTGTGTTCCCAAGGACTCCCCTTTTCTTCTAAAAGTGCATTTCAAGGTGAGGCAGTGAATTATTTAGTGTTGGGAGGGGAATAAGTCTCGACGTTTTAAAGGAGAGGAGGGACAGTCAGAAACTGTTATTATCATGTAAATCCCAGGGAGAAAGGGGGACAGTGAAACCGATAGCACTGATCTCATTATCTGAACCCTGATACAAACCTCACCACTGAAAGGGCCCCACAGAAAAGCTGCAATCGGTACACAATAAGCAGTGGCGCCCCAAATTGGAACGTAGCAACAGTGCACAAACAAGCTTTTTTCTACACTTTTATGAGTTTTCCCCCCTGAAAAGCAAAGTGTGTGTGAGGGGATGTTCTGCTACTCTTGGTCTTTCATTTTTTTGGGGTCCGTATCTGTCCAACATTATTTAGTCCGAAATTAGATCTGATGCTTAATCAAAATTACTAATCATTATTCAAGAAATACATCTTTCAATTAAATTCGACTGTATAATCACTTAATATGGCCCCTTATAAAGGTGCTTTGATATCACAGAACCAGTGAGCTTCACGAGAATAACCGGCATGTCACAGAAGGCAGTTTATCCTTCCAGTCTTTTCCTTCATGAAAGCAACATCCAAGAGGTGTGATAGTTTAGCCCGTGCTGCCACCAGTCTATTGTGCTACAGGTGGTCATTGATGGCTAAGGACCTGTGGCACAGAGTACAGAAAGCAGTCTTTATGACCACAGAAAGGGTGAGGGGGGGGGGGGGGCTGGCAGAGACAGGAACTAAACAGCACTGCATTAAAGGGGCCAAAACATTTAGGTTAATTTGAACTTGTTTTTACGTTAATTCCACGAAGCACTGCAGCACACGGGGCTGCATTTCCAGCTCGAAACGTCAGACAAAGAGAAGATATTCAGGTCAATTTCAAATTTTCACTAAAAGAATCACTCTAGCTTAAGATCCGATTTCAAAGGAATTTCAAATTTTTTCAAATTTTAATTTTATGGAATCTGCCAAAATTACTTATTGCCACTCACCAGTACACCACCGATGCAAAAAGAAAAAAGTGCACTAAACTTAATTCCAGAACCGATACAGAGCATGGAAATCGCTCTGTTAGTGTGTGGTCCGCTTCTAAAAAGCTGCACCCTGGTCTGAGCACACAGGTCATGGCAGGTCAGGGCAATACCAATAACAAAATTTGATTGATGGCAGCGTCAGGGGAGAGAGAGAGTGGCAAAATGATTTCTACTAAGTCCTACGAAATGCCACTGGTGGATCCTGGGGTGCCAGCCGATCACCATTTTCACGTTCGCTGTGCGACATGTAGCTACACATAAATCAAATACCGCACACACGTGAAGACAGAGTCATTTTAACCCAACAGAGACAGCAAGTCTAACGGCGTAACAGAAAGCTCACCATTCCCCGAAACACCAACAAAAATTAATGCCGAGAATCATTTGGTGACAACGGACATAAAGGCACCACATTCTGTTCATAACTGACTGACAGTGAAAATTTAATTTGACCCATGTGAAGACAGGGGTCACAAACATTCACACAGTAAACCTGAACAGTGCAGCACAGCTGGAGAGCATGAAGGGTATCCACACCACACATCTGCATCAACCCCCCCCCCCAAACCTTTAGCAATATTAGTAGAGGCAGGGGAGGCGGGGGGGGGGGGGGTCACCATCGGCTGAGTATGACCGGCCTTGCAGGTTACCCACGCGGGTCGGGTCATGGCGCTTTGCTGTGGTCACCTCCCACCGGTGCCGTTATTGCCTCTCCAAGATTGCATTTTAATTAAACCGCAGGCGTGTGAATGAAAGGGGACATGGGAAACAGGCTGCCACAGAATTTTTTTTTTATTTTTATTTTTTACAAACGATTGAAATTTTTGAAATATTTAATGCATGATATCATTACGCCGTTTTGATACCTTCTGAAAGAGCTGGCCTGGCTACCGATTAAGGAGACCCAACAGGGTCTGTTGAGAATTCGCAACATTCTCAGTGCTGACAGAAAACGCTGCCGGAAGCGAGGCCGTTCCGGCCCATTCCGGGCCGCTCCAGAGCTGCCTGCGCTCCCAAACCTGCAAATACATTCTCGCGGCTCCAGTATTAAACTGCCCACTCTCGCTTTTTGCTAAGCCACATCTTTACGTGGGGAGCAGCTCACGGGGTGGGCCGTTAAAAGTTACTCCCAAGAGAGGACAGATTCTTTTGTTGGTGCAGCAATGGGCGCACAAAGCTCCTGAAACAATTAGCAGATTCGGGTGTTTCTATTGCTTAATCTTCCCTTATCGGATGAGAAGAAGCGCTCACCTTCAGAAAGGCCTGAAGACCACACACCAACTCCGGGTTCATCACTCACACTACAACCGCTGCACTACAGTCACTCTGAACGTTACATTTGTGAGGAAAAAATACAATCAATACAAAGCAAATAAAGTACAAGTGTTTTTTAATAATACGGCTAATCAGTCCAGGAAAAGTGTGCTTTAGAAACATTTCCATTACAATTCAATTATTCTGCAAAAACTAAAGTTTGGTTAGGTGGTGGAAAAAAAAACCAATACGATTTACAAGAGTCAAAGACAAGAGCCAAAAGAACTTCACAATGTTGATCTGAAACGAAACACTTTTCCCAGCATCTGGTTAAAATGTACCAAGTAAGGTTCCCTCTCCCACACACTGAGCAGTTTTAATGGTTAATGACTAACTGACCTTCAGCTACCTCCAAAGTATGGGTTTCAGATGAGGAGGTGAGGGTACCACTGCACCTTCATAATGCATATAGATTAATAACAAACATTATATGATGTGATAATAAGAAACATCGCAATCAAACTAATGCAGTGTTTCCCAATCTGGTCCTTGGGGACCTGCAGACAGTCCACGTTTTCGCTCCCTCCCAGCCTGTCCCCATTTCTGAGAGCTGAGAGGGAGCAAAAACGTGGACTGTCTGCAGGTCCCCAAGGACCGGATTGGGAAACACTGGTATAATCATGAGATGTTAGTTATTGACGTGTATTAAAGCTGTTAAGGTGTGTTAGGATTTTAAGGTATACTTACATCTTATGTGTAAGTATACATCTTACTTATGAATGTTCTATTAATGCAGATATTGTGAAGCGCTACCAAGATTTAGTTGTTTGACATGATTTTAGAGGAAGCAGTTCAAAGCAAAGTGTAACACTTGAGCGATCTGGCTCTGGTACATTTTATAATCAACATGCCTGCAATGTGCAAATAATTCACCATGAAAACAGGTGAGAGTACAGCCATAGCGATTTCAGTAAACAAATACGGAGTATAGGTTAGTAGAAAACTTCACGCTTAGATAATCAGAGACAGTCACACGTGTGTGAATTCCAGCATCTTAAACTCATTGTTCTGTCAGCAGACAGTCTTTGGAAAAGCACCACTGGGCCAAAATACCTGAGACCCTGAACACAGCAGGGGTGGAGCTCAGGCTAGGCCTAATCAAGTCATTTCTGCTGCCTCTTTAATCCACTGCTGGATGTACTTCACCTCTAAGGCGCGGGCATGGAGGACTGAGGATGGGTCATAGTTGGTGTTGTAGCGCAGGTCCAGGTGGTGGGCGCCATCGGGAATCACAATGGCCACCAGGCTGCTGGTCAGGCTCTCCATCACCCCGCCACCTGACCACGGGTCCAGCTTTCCATTGCTGGAAGGAATTCAAAGCGGGATGTCAGTGCAGTTTTCCGATACCTCGTTTCCACCAACGCGGTGGCCAGCTTTTTTCCCCCCAATCCAGTACTGGTTCAGCGTGTTTCCACCACAAAAACCTGGCCCTAGGTTAGGGGAAAAAAAAAAATGGCTCCAACACTGCACCACAGAAAAGCTGGTCTCAGAATGTGGAACTAAAACGTCAGCGAAAGTGGGACGGGCTACCGCGTCCAAACCTTCCTTATACCCAGAAAATTCAATCCATAACCGATATAGTTTTGTCTCATTTCCACGGTGCCAGCCGTGAAACAACTTGCCAGATTATTAACGTTACATTATTAATTTTTTTTTAATTCTGTAGAAAATGAAAGATTGATTGAATACATTTAATAAAGTATAAACATGTCGCAGGATGAAAAAAAATAAAATAATAATAATAAAATACTGCTGAACAAGTGGCAAAGAGATCATAAGGTGGACAGCAAAGTATCTAGTATTCTAGTATTCTAGTATTCTAGTATTCTAGTATTCTAGACTCTAGTATTGCACAATCATTAGAAAGACAGCAGCAAAACAGCGAGTGAAGATAAACTCACTCATGCACACAGACGGGGGAGCCTTTACGGAGACAAAATGGATACAGGCAGAGAGAGGGCGCAAGAAGTTATAGTCGGAATTTTTTTGGTTTGGCAGCTTAGAAAAACTTAAAACTGGAAACATCAAAATAAATCCAAAAAACTGAATTCACATGAACCTTTACTCTTACTTCTGCATATGTAACATTTTTGTTCTGTTCTTTTTTGAAAGCTGTGGAAACATGGGCAGGTTCCCAAAAGGTACCAAGCGAGAACCAGCCCAGCACCGGCTCCGTGTTGGTGGAAACAAGATAAGAGATGGAGCTGGCAGGAAGGCCACTAATGGCTAACAGGAGGAAACTGTACTTAGTTGCCTGGCTCAATGTGAAGAGAGCGAAATTCATGTCCTGTTGCAGTCACGGTTTGGTTACTTCTCAATCAGCATAATGATAGTAGACAGTGTGTTTTTATAGAGCTCATACAAGCTGATGGCTGTTTCCAAACCCCCCTCTCAGAGTTAACCTGCAGGCAGAGAAACCCTCACCTGCCAATATTAAGTTCTACTTTTAAAAAAAGCAGTTTTTTAAAAACAGAAAGAAAAGACAAAAACATACCCATTAAAAAAAGTATTAAATATTCAAATGTAGTAAAATTTATTGAGGACCTTTTATGAAATGCTACCTAATTGCTACCTACTTACCTGAAGATTATGTTGCTGTGGGAATGAATCTGTTTTCCCCCATACATAGTAATGGCCCAGTCGATGCGTGGTCTCACTCCGAACTGTTTGTAGCATTCCTCCGAAAAGGCTTGGAAATCCCAAGGCTGGGGCTCAAACATGTCCTGGACACCGTCGGTACACATCGGCATCACCATCTCTGTGCAAGCCTGCACACAATGACAGACACACAAAAGAAACACAGACAATCAATCGTAAGCCAGTTGACGACAATGAAAAATAAATTCCAAGCAAATTCTGTCTTAAGTTACAATGTAAGATTCTGTGTTCACTACGCAAAATATATCTAATACACGGTGAATAAAGTAAATGTAACCACTGTAACTAAACAAAATGCAGGTCTGTCAAGGTCCTATGTGGCATATACCTGATAGTACCAGCCAAGGTAGCCCAGATTGCCAGTGGCAGTCTGGGAAATATCAAGACAAGCTGCTTCACCAGTGTAATTGTAGTACACCCTGACTGCGTGGGAGATCGCCTGCAGGAGGAGTCTGTCTGGCAATGAAGCGTTCCTCAGATGTGTGCAGACCACCTGGAGACACAAGACCCAAAACGGAGAGGTGAAGCAGGAAGATAAGATACTGGGCAGCCACAGCGGCGTTTAAGGACAGACTGCAGCGGCAAGCAAACCGGCGGGGAGACCGTCAATCTCCTCCAGCTCATTTCTACAGTAGTTCCCGGGTGGCAACACTGACTGGACGCACAGCTACTGCCTTGGCAATTTACTTGATTTTGTACGGTACTCATGCGGTTTCCAAACGACTATGCATACCCAGATAGCACCATGTTATTGTTTCAGCGTTGAATTAGAGTTAAATACGTTGAATTATGCTCGGTGTTAAATTATCAACGTTGAGACTGAATTGATTTTTGGTCAGATTTTCAATATTGAAAAAATGATGGTGGCGAAACCTTGATTTAATGTTGATATAAAGTGACGCATTGAAGATCAACGTTGTTTCAACCTTTTTGTCGGATATGGAATCAGTGTCATTTCAACATGCGTGTGCTATCTGGGGTAACCTGTCATTCAGAAAAGGGGCATTTTAAAATAAGTTGGACAGTTTTGAAAATAAATCCCTGCTTGTTTTCTAAGGAGCAGTCATACTGTTCTAAACAAACATTTGCTGTACAAATCACAGACCAGAATGAAAAGGCAGACATTCATTCGTTAAATTATTCATATTATTGTTTGCAAATGTGCGGCCAATGCACTGGTGTGCTTAACAGAGGCTGGCCTCTTCGGCTGTGCCAGCCCAAGCTGTTTACACGCTCCTCTAGCTACTCCTGATGGTGCTCGGCGTGGATCACGCCCCATCTTCCTAAGCGGAAACCAAACCGATTATTAGCATTTGAAATTCAGGCTCGATTCTCGAGAGCACTTGATGTTCGCAAACACGACAGGACGTGCCAACGTTCTGGCCAGGAGACTGGCGAGGGAAGGAGCCCCAGCTTCTCTCTTTATGGCTCTGGCTTCAGTGTCATTCTGGTTGTTTCCATGGTCCTTGATACGGCTGTCGTTTGTTGTTGTGGCGACACTCTGCGTTGCGGCCATTTTTTTTCGCCTTCTTTGGGGGGCAGCTGTTATTGGGCGCACTGTGAGAACTCGAGAGGCTCTGCTCAAAGGCAGGACTGTCACCCTGGTGGGGCCAAATCTGTCACTATGGCTTTTGTCCAAAGTTTGCAGAGGCGGCGGTGGCCAGTGGGAGAGGAACAGCCACAGACATGTCCGACTGGTGATTTACACCGTGGAGAGGGGGGGAGAAACGCAAGGGCTCTTCTACAGCATCTTCCATCTACTTTTCAGATAGGATTAGGCTTATACATTGAGCTCTGCCAACAGATTTCCCCCCTCTAAATCCTCAATACCCCCCTTCTCACAGTCACTCAGATAATCACATTAGCTTTGTCATTAAAAAGGTCCTTTTTGCATCCACTGCCTAAACTGCTTAAACCACCCAAAGGGGTCGCATACATTACTGCAACCCAGACAGACAGCTGAAAATGACCATTTTGCGTTTGCCATTCCTAAACTCTTCACCGGGTTTGCAAAGAGCTAAGGGAACACAGTGAAATCTCATTATGTGCAAAATACACCAACACATCCCTGTACAAGCTCCTGGGGAACATCAGGCATCTCAAATAAACATGGTGACAAAATCCACAGTGAGCCCTACAGACATGCCAACAAAAGGCACCAAGACACTGGGAGTCCATGACGCATGCATATGGAGCGTATAACCTCACATACTGACATTTCAGCCTCAACGTGTTGGAAAAAAGGAAAAAATCCAAACACCGCCCCCCCACACACGCACACACGCACACACACACACAC